TTCTGTAAGATGTTTTGTCAGACTAACGAAGCAGACAGAACTTCCAAATAAGCTGTCGTAAAAGGGACTGTACACTCATAAAACATTTCAAAATCCTTGTAAATCTACCTCCTCTCCTGATGCCATTCACATATGAGCACAATTTAAAATCGTCCTTCAAGTCCAAGTTTCCCCTAAATACAATATGCCTATATGATGCAAGCAGATAGTCAATTTATCATGAAACCACAACAAAACATGCAGCATTCTCTACCTCCAAGTAAACGATTAAGATTTTGGCTGTTTGGCACCACGTTCCTTAATTCTGATCTGGAGAGCGTTCAGTAACAGTATTGTTCGCTTCCCCTTCAATCGTGTACTGGAAAATGAACCCTACTGCCTTGTGAAAAGGTATCCATGCTTAATTTGAATGTTATCAACGTTCTTGACATGCCTATACATTATACAGGAAGAAGTGAAGAACGAAGGAAACGAATGAAATAAAAGAATGAATGAAGGCAAAAAATTACTTCAGGACTTTTCCTGTGATGATGCTTGGTTAATATCTGGTTCTTAGACCATTATTGCCTAAGTTGTCTTAACAGTTTATGTATCATCATTCCTTTTCAGTTGTTCAGTTAGTCTCTCCAGGGAAGAGAAGCTAAATATTTGCTTATTATATTGTGTTATATTATATTACGTGATAATTATCACATTTAGCACTTTTAGATTTGTCCACAATTCTGAATTCCTAAATCAAGCTTCTCTAACAAAGCTTCACCCTCTACATATGAGGACCATTAGGAAAAGGCAAGTATGCTTTCTTTACCTGGAGGTTGCAACCAACGAGGGAATCCAGGTTTCTTCTCTTTCATGCGGGAGAAGAATTTCAAAAAACCCTTCTGCTGTGAAAATTGCACACAGCATGTAAAATGTTGGGAACCTCTCGCCTAAGGGGCGGTTCTCAGATTTCAACGTAGGAATATCCTAGTTCCAGCCTATTCCAAGCCTAACGAACAGCCTATCCCAAATTCAGCATATTTCAACTTCAGTCAACATTTTACTCATGCCATTTGTACCTACGATAATTTTGCTATAAATGCAGAAGAGTACCATCAAACTGGTACGTGTTCGGTCTCAAAATTTAGGCTGCTTGCAAAATTTAGCAACATAAATCAAATAAAGATTGAAAAAAATACTGCAGTGTAAGCAACTCTGAACGCCGCCACCTGACCGTTTTCAAATCTAACCCCAGAATTTGCATTAATGGATGTCTTAGAAGAGTCTTGGTTCTCCTCATTAAACTCTGCAGGCTATGTTTCTTTGATTAGATGATGTTAATATAGTCACCTTAAAATCACATCTATTCCTACATTTGGTTTGTTGCCCAGCAGTAAAAAGAAAATATGTCATAAATTTTAAAGAACATTG